CCCCCACCCCTCCAAACCCCAACAGCAGCTTCCCAGAACAATACAGTACAAACACCCCCTTTTCCTCCTCCCCACCCCATCCCAACCGACGTGGAAAAATATAGAAAAAATCCCAAAAAACTTCTGCAATAATTTAGTTAGAATAGCTCCTCTGGCTTTGTGCAAATAAATTAAAAACAACTCAAAAAAGGAACGTTAAAACACTTAAAATTTCCAGACCGGCAGGCGTGACAAACCAGCCCGTGGTGCCTCCGTGGGGCTCGGCCAGGAAGACATCACGGTGAAGGAGATAATTCTTTGTTTTCTTATTTTTTTGTGTGTGTGTTTTCCCTCTAAGGTCCCTCAGCTGGGCAGGTCCTTTGTCTCCAGGTGAGGACATCCCGCTGGGCTGGGTGCCGGAAAACAAGCGGTTTCGGACAAGAGACGTCACAAGCACAAAGTGCACAATATTTCTGGTATTTACAGAGAGACAGCAGTCCTTCAAGTTTCAAGTTTTGTCAAAAAGAAGGAGATAAAACAGCAAGAACAATAAAAAAAAACAAAAACCAAACCGACCAACCCAAAGTGACAAACTGAAGTGACAACGAAGGAGTTACCGGTATGGAAACGAGAACGAAATGGAACGAAGAAACCACACAAAAAATGGGGAGGAACTGAAGTTACAACACAGCTGCATCGCTCCCAAGACAAGAGGTGACACGTCCACAAGGGGAGGGTGTTGGGGGGTATGTACAAGGCGATGGTGAAGCCAGGGAGAGGCTTCAGGGTGGTCACCAGTCCGCGTCCTCCTCGATGTAGTAGTCGGGGGCCGTCCCGTCGAAGAGACCAGGGTCCAGGGACTTGCGCTGCTTCCCCCGGGCAAACACCCTGGAGATGGAGCCAAAGCCCATCTTCTCTTTCTTCTTTTTCCTTTTTTGGTCTTCCAGGTCCTCTAGAGACTGCATATGAGGGGGAGAGGACACGAGTTTGACCAATGAGCTTTTCACTCGCACCCTCACCGGGGATGATGCACCGTATGGTCCAGGATCCAAAAAACATTCAAGTTCAGCTCCAAAGAAATACTGAAGTCCTGGACCAAAAACTCACAGAATGGTGGAGATCATCCAGTCTAACCCCCCTGCCAGAGCAGGATCCCCTAGAGCAGACTACACTCTGCAATGGGATTTGCCATGAATTTGGGCCCCTTCCCCATATTTCTGGGATTTTGGCTTCTTATTTCAACTGGTTATTTCTGGGATTGTGGCTTCTTAACTGAGCTGGTTCAAAATTTCAGCTCCAGGAACATTAAGGATGGTCAGAGCAAGGTCTTTGCTCTCACACCTGCTATTTTAGGTTTAAACAAAGAAAATAACATCATCGAGGCAGAACCTTGCAAAGATCAGGACTGTGACGGGCTCTGAGCACAGCAGCTGCCTATGGAATTACCTGGATTTTGGGGCAAATCATAGGAATCTTAGCCAGCCCAGAATTATAATTCAGGATGGCTTCTGCTTCTTTATTAAAAGAAGCCAAGTTGGTGCCTCTGAGCCCCCCCAGATCACTTGCCAGGACCAACCAGCTCTCATAAGTGGGATTAAAATGGATTTTTGTGCCCTACCTGTACAATTGGGTTGTGCAAGTTCTTCTGTACCGGTCCAGGACTGTCCCCCTGTGGCAGAAGGACACAAATCCAATGGGTTCAGCCCCAAAACAATGGGGGCTCTCCCACCTCAACAGCAAAAAGCAGCTTGTTCTGGCAGCCAAAGCCCTGCAAGGCTGGCATGAACTCCTAGGAAAGCAGCAGCCTTCCAAGTCAGCCCACCTCTCAACCATATCCCACCCCAAATCCAACATCGTTTTGGGAAGCACAGGACCCTGAGCAGCCTGTCCCACCCCTTCCAAGTGAGACCCAGGGCAGGGAACCCCCCCCGCCTTACGTTGCAGAGCGAGTGCGTTCGGTGCCGGGGCGAGTTGATGTCGCTCGGCGTGGACGAGCGGTCGCCCTCGGCTGCGGAGGCGTCGGAGATGATGGAAGGTTGTCGGGAATGACAGGGACTCACCCTGACCCCTGGAAGTTGGGAGGAAGGGACATAAACCAGGGAGTTACCATCACGCCAGCAAACCTGACCCCGCCACAAAGCATCCCACACACTTTAAAAAGACAACACGATACGTTTGGGGTGTCTCGCCTGGTTTTTTTCACCCTTCTATGGAGGAATGAGGCAGCTCCCAAAATGGGAATGGTCTCCTGCGTGGGTCTGGGGGAGGAGGGAGGGCTTGGGGGGCTCACCTTGCCGGTCTGCTGAGTGCTGGGGGTGTGAGTGGTAGAGGGTCTGCTGGCTCTGCCGGATGGCAGCCGTCAGCGGGAGGTCGGCCTGCATCACCCACTCCTGGTTGCCGTTCAGCACCGTCTCGCCTGGCATGGCCAAGGAATGGCGCTTGGGAACGTCCTTGGTCAGCGTGGCCAGGGACTGCTTGGCCTGGAGAAGGACATGGAGGTGTTGGGGGGGGGGGGAGAAAATCCATATGAACATCTCCCGGAGCAGCAGAACCAGCAGCACCAACCACACAATCCCCATAAATAAAGCCCCCAACTGTGTTGCTCCCTGCACCAGGGATGTCCAGCTCCTTTCTGGGGTTGGTCATTTTTTTGGCTGCCGATACTGCAAGGATGCAACAACTGCAGCAAACACACGTGTGCAAGGACTGCAGCAAATACACAGACTCACAGAATCATTCTGGTTGGAAAAGAACCTTTCAGATCATTGAGTCCAACAATTAACCCAACTCTACTGAGTTCAGGGCTAATCCATGACCCTCAGCACCGCATCTACAAGGCTTTGACACACCTCCAGGGATGGGGATTCAAACACCTCCCTAGGGAGCCAGTTCCAGTGTTTAATTACCCTCTCAGTGAAGCAGTTTCTTCTAATATCTAATCTAAACCCCCCCTGGTGCAACCTCCTCTTGTCCTGTTGCTTGTTCCCTGTGAGGAGATGTGTGCAAGAACTGCAGCAAACGCACATGTGCAACAACTGCAGCAAACACCCAACCGCAGAACTACAATCAATCTCTGACTTCAGCAGAACTCGTCAGGGTGTTTCAAGCAGTCTTTGCTGCTGAGCCAAGCCCCTTGAGCTGTGCCCACTGCAGCATGGAGCTCACCATGGCCAGCTCGGCCTCCAGCTCCTTCATGCGGTTGTCCTTCAGGTCCAGCTGGGAGCGCAGGGAGCTGGCATGGTCCGTCGCCTCCTTGGCTTGTCGCCGCAGCTCCCACTTCTCCCGCTCCAGGAGGTCCTTCTCCTTGGCCAGGGCTTTCACTGCATCCTCGCTCTCCTGCCAGGGATATGGGGTGGTCAGTAGGAAAGGAAAACCCACCCCTCTCTCATAACCCCCTCAGGGTCACCTGAGTGCTGCGGTGTCAAAGTGGAACCTTTGGGTGTCAGAAGAGCCCTGTGATGGCAGCAGGGAGCTGTGGTGTGTGAACAGTCCTCCCAACACCGTGGACTTGGTTAAAATGACATCAAATTCCCCAGATCTGGCTTGCCAGCCCGATTTCCTCTAGCATTTCATAGGATCCCAGACTGGTTTGGGTTGGAGGGACCTTAAAGACCACCCAGTCCCAAACCCCCTGCATGGGCAGGGACACCTCCCACCAGACCAGGCTGCTCCAAGCCCCATCCAACCTGCCCTTCAACACTTCCAGGGATGAGGCAGCCACAGCTTCCCTGGGCAACCTGTTACCAGTGTCTCACCACCCTCACAGTGAAGAATTTATTCCTAATGTCCAACCTAAATCTCCCTTCTTCCAGTTTAAGCCCATTCCCCCTTGTTCCATCACTCCCTAACCTTGCCAAAAGGACAGCTGTTCATCATTAACCCACTGCAGCCCAGCACTTGCAGCAGGGCAGCATCTCCCTGGTGACAAGAGGCCAGTTGGAGTTCTCGGGGGTGGGGGGTTTGTCTCTGTGGCAAACCAGACGTTGTGCTGACCCCTCTGCCAGCCCCTGTGGCTCGAGCTCCCACCCTCACCTTGCGGTGCTGCTCGTAGTTGCGGATGAAGTCCCGGAGCTGCTCCTCGCGGCTCTCCAGCGTGGCGTACAGCTGCTGCATCTGGCTCACCAGGTCTGTCTTCTCTGCCTTCAAGCGCTTCCTGTCGGCTTTCATGGCTGTGGGAGAGACCAGGGCTCGAGGGTGGGGGGCACAGCAGCCCCTTCACCTCCCCCATTTTTCTTTTTCAAGTCAAAAACCAGCAAAACTCTGACTCCAGGGTCTGGGAGCAGATACCTGATTCTCCCTCATTTTTATACCTCCCGCACCCACCCCAGCAGGCTCCCAAAGCACCCGTCGTATCACCAGCACAGCTCCAAATCATTGTCCACCTTCCATGGAGCTGCTCATCTCCTGGAAGAGGAGATTAAGGAGCAAAAACCGCTGCTGCAGCCCCAGGGCCCGGCGCAGGAAAACCTGTTGTTCCTTTGCCAGGATAAATAAACCACAACTGGTTTATTTTTAGCAGCCGGGCGGGTTCCTGCCGCGCTCCCATGAGCCAGGACGTGGCTCCCTGAGTGTCCCCTTCCAGCTCAACGATGCTGTGAGGGGACATGGGGACAAAGAGGAAGGCTGGGGGAGATGGGATGTGATGAGGAGGGTTCACCAGTCCCAAGACAAAATCAAGACCTTTGGATTTTCCATCTCCCCCACATCAGCAAGGGATTCTTGCAGACCACCAAGGGACGCTGGCTGACCACAGACGTAGGGACAGTCTGGTAAAACCAGGGACATTTACAGAAAGACTATGTAGGAACAAGGGGCTCCAGTAATTCCTGCTCATTAAGAGCTTTGCCCAGCCTTGAACTTGGTCTTTGGCAGGGCTGCAGAAATGCCCTGTGGCTCCCTGCTCTGCATACACCCACCAAAATAATACCCAATTGAATACAAATACTGCTTTTCGTTACAGGAAAGACCTGGCACGCTTCCAACCCTAAGGAAGTGCTGCTCCTCAGGGATTGGGACAGTCCAAAACCCTCTCTGCCCCCCCAGCGCTCCCTGCACTCACCATGTTGCAAGCAGAGGAATCTTGCAACTCATCCCTTGATAGCCAAAAAACCCTAAAGCCCCCCAAAGCCACCAAGAGCTGTCTTATTACCAAAGCCACTAGGAGGTGACAGCACCATGACGAGTGGGACCGTCTCCATGCACAGGTCCCACCTACTTCTATGAGATGAAAGAAGCCCACAATGAGTGTTTCAGCATTTCCTACCTCGGAGGTAAATCAAAATCCCATAAAAACAACAAAGCAGCCAAGAAATGCCACAACCATTCATGTTGTTCCATGACAAGGAGCCCTCGTGACTCTTCCTTGCCTACTTCAATGAACGTGGCTCCTCCTGGGACCACTCAGCCCCTTCCAACACCACGAGTTTTGGTTTTTTTTTTCCAGCTTGGGAAATTACTATAGAAACTCTCTAAAAATAATCACAACCAGCCCACAGCTAAGTTTTTAACAAAGCACTTTCCTGCTGCCTGCGTGTGTTTAACAACCTCCCCCCTGCTCAGTCACACAAACTAAAAACTTACTGAAAAAGAAACATGAATGGAGCTGTAAAGGGATGAGATCTGGACCTTGGAGTGGGTACCCAGAGTTACCAACCACAACTTGAGGACACAAGAAATGACATGGGCTCTAGAGGGTGAATTTCATAGAATGGTTTGGGTTGGAAGGGACCTTATTTTCTGCCCTTGTAACCCTTCCCAGGCAGGCTCTGTCCCATCCCCACATGCTGACAACTCCTCTACTTTCATCTCTTGAACACTGTGCAACACACACATATATATTTAAATTCATCCAGGAAAACAAGAGGCTCTTATAAAAGTTTAAGCCACATGTGCACTCTCTGATGCTGGAGGCAATCAGAGGTTCCTAATGAATTTAATTAAATAGCAGGTCCCCAACAGCCTCCAACCTGCTTTAATTAGTGGCACTGTTCAAGGTCCTTAAAAACCTACAGAAAACACTTCATCTTGCCAAAAAAAAGATAGAAAATTCTCAGAAGTACTATTAGGAGCAAAGTACACACCATCTCCCAAGGCTGAATATTTACTAATATTCACACCAACTAGAACTACAAGAAGATTATGGACTTGGGGTATTACAGGAGCAATTTTTTCCTTATTATCCAAATAGGACAATTTGCTGTTTGCTTCAGTTCATATTCATATTGCTAAAATTAATACACTTTTATCCCCCTCTCCATTACCACTGCTCTCCCTCTTCAAAACTGATGAGCTCCAAAGCTTAAAGAAGATTTATCAGTCACCAGACAACTTCATTCCAAACTCAATTAATAGAAAATTAATTGAAAGAGGCAGGAGAAAAATAAAAAGGGATGCAAAAGTGAGCAGCTGGGGCTGCCAGAGCTCCTGGAGCACACACTGCTTGTTGCAGGGCTCCATGTGTCCTTAGCAAACGAGCCCTGCTAATTACTGGGCTGGGGAAAACGAGCCATTTTCACCCATGGTGTGATGGCAGGGACAGCCAAAGAGGGTTTTCACTGGTCATCAGGGCCACCCAAGGAGGTGAAATGGCTTTTTTCTTGATCCTGATGATGCAGGGCCAGGTTTCTGTATGCCAGCCACCAAGAACACCTACAGCAACTCTCCTACAGTGGGCTCTGGCTAAACCTCCCACCTGTCCATAAAGCCAAGGCAACACAGGAAGCAAGAAATCCCAAACCTGTATCATGAGCAGGAAAGTGTTTCTCATGCAGCTTCTCTGCATTACTGGTTTTCCCCTCCCACCCAAAACTCATGGCAGAAACAGAGGGGGAACCCACCGGCCCCTGCTCGGACTCGGCAGCTCAGCATCAGCCAGCGATGGGAAAAGCAGGTGGGGAATGGTGGGATGAACCCCCCCAGGGCTTGGGTCACCCCCCACACCCTCCATTCCTTCTGTGCTTGGTCGGCTTCCACTCCTGTCACTTGAGCTTCCACCTCCTGCCACCTGATCCCTCCCCAGAGCATCGTTCCCTCCGAAGGATGAGGGAGGATGAGCCGTAACGGGACCTGCTCTGCTCTAGGCTCCTTTCCCAGCCAAAACAAACAAAAATGCCCCCCCAGCACCTTCTGTTTCCAGTTTCACCCAACGAGCTGACACCTCATTGCTCCAATGAACCTACCTGAGACCCCTCGTGGTGCCACCGCCCCAAGGTCCCTGTCTGGCCTCAGTGTCTGACAAGTGGGTGGGAATCGGCTCCCACGGGCTACCAGCAGACATCTCCCCCAGATATAAATACATAACAGCCCCCCTTCAAAATCACTGCCAAATTAAGGGAAAATGAGGCAGTGGTGGTCACACCAGGTTTGCTTGGAGGGCATACGGGTAATTAGACTTAGGTAATGTGATATTAGGTAATCAGACATTAGGTAATGTGATATTAGAGGAAAAATGGTGGTGTTTTGACCCTAGAAATAGGGTCTCTGCTGGGGTTCCTGCTCCTGGGACAAGTGGCAGTGCCAAAACACAAGCCAGGACAGTGGCAGAGGACACAGCCCACCTCTGACTGTCCCACAGAGCAGCTCCCTCCAGCTCCCTTCACTTGCCAGGACTTCTCTTGCTCTGTGCAATGTGGGTTTTCATGCCAAGAACAGATTCAGAGCCAACTTTATCCCTCACTGAATCACACACTTTATCTTCTAACATGGGCAAAGGTGTCCTCAGGGGGCACCACTCAAGCCTTGTGCAAGACGAACACCTGGACCCACCCTGTCCCATTAACATACACGTAATTCCTCCTGTTTCTCCATCTCAGCCATGAAATTCAATGTTGTCACCATGACTAACCCATGAAATGGGTCAGCCCTGTGCAGGAACTGCAGTGCTGCTCCTTGCTTTGTCATGACACAGGCGTGCGCGCTCGTCATCACCTGCAGAGAAGATCTTGCCCTTGAAGATGTCAGCGTGAGGAGGTGTTGGGCAGAGCCAGCACTTGCTCCTGGGTGGGGGCAGGCAGGAAATTCGAGTGCAATGTTGAATTTCAGGAAACTATTAGAGGAGGCATTTGCCCTGGGGGAATTTACCTGGAAACACCCTACTATGAGGCCAAGGTCTTTCCAAATCAGACTCCTCTGTGGTCATGACAAGGTGGTCAATTTCTGCTGTGAGTTTAAGGTGAGCCTTCAAAAGAGCACTGTGGGTTTTCAGCACAAAGCCCCCATGTCCCTTTAATGGAGAGGGCTGAGTCCATGGCTGGGACACCCATCTGCTGGAACACTCATCTACCAGAACACCTGTGGCCCATTCTTTTGCCACCCATCCCCTTGCAGTAGCCAGCTGGGTGTTCTGAGGGTTTTTGCAGGAGGTTTGTCCCAGCCCAGCCACTGTGCCCCGGAGTCACAGCTCCAAGCCATGGGTTTGGGAGACAGGAGACCAGGACACATCCCTTTTGTGGAGCAGACATGAAGTTGGTTCACAGCTTCCTAAGCAGCAGGGAAAGCCAGCCTCAGGTCTCCATACTGGTACTTGGAAACAGCATGATAATCCCATAGGCAAGCTCCAGCCTCTTGGATATCCTTCCCAGAAACAAAGCTTCTGCCATTAGCCCACATGCTCCCAGATGTCACCTGGCCAAGAGGCTCCTCAGGTCCTCCAGGCACTTGGGCATGGTCCCTGCCTGCAGCAGGACCTAGTGGTAGTGAAGCTATCTGCAACTTCTCCCGTTGGAGATTTCCATACCAGAAATCCAGACCACATCCTTCCCTTTCCAACTGGGGCCAGGGCAAACAAACTAACTGTGCTAACTCTGCAAGCACTACCCCAAGTCCCAGCCCCAGCAAAGGAGCAGAAGATGTAACGCGATGGCATTTTGTTTGGATGGGGAAAAGAAGTGCAAGAGATGGAATTAGCCCAGAAAAAGAAGCAATAAAGATGCCTAAAGCACACACTGCCAGGGACACTCTGGAGTCACTCCCATGGAGCATCCAGTGCTGCTCCTGACCCCTGCCCCCTCCCTCTGCAGCCAGGGCTCGTTACTGCCACACGGGGAAGACGCTGCGTGGGCCAATCGCCGTTGGTAAGGCCTGGAAACACCTTGCTGAGGAGGGATGATGAACTCCCCGTCCTCCATCCAGACCATCCCAAACCCAACCTGTGCCAAACAAAGGCTGTTGAAACTGCTGGAGCCCCCACCAGCAAACCCCACTGGCACAGCCTCTCCCCTCCCTCTGTGCTAAGCCCCGGGAGCCAAGATCAATCTGCACCGGCTGTGCCGCGTGTCCAGGCTCCGAGCCAGCAGCAAGGACACATTTCCCTGTCATTTATCCCCTAGTGACATGACACGCGACCCATGCAGGGGCAGGGACACCGATGCTGCTGGGATCCCCCAGGGCTTTGCAAAGATACAGGCCGTGGGGTGGGAGGTGACCTGGGAGATTCTCTCTGGCTCTGGGACACAATCGGCACAAAGCGCTGACCCCCGGAGAGCACGGGCAGGTGTCCCCAGCTCCTTGCACTGCCTTGTCCTGCACCTCCTTAATTTAGAGCCATCATCTCGTCAACTGTAGTGACAGGACAAGGGGAATGGGTTTAATCTGGAAGAGGGGACATTGAGGTGAGACATTGGGAAGAAATTCTTTGGTGAGAGCCTGGCCCAGGTTGCCCAGGGAAGCTGTGGCTGCCCCATCCCTGGCAGTGTTGAAGGGCAGGTTGGATGGGGCTTGGAGCAGCCTGGGCTGCTGGGAGGTGTCCCTGCCCATGCAGGGGGGTTGGGACTGAATGAGCCTTAAGGTCCCTCTCAATCCAAACTATTCCACAAGCCTGTGAAGTGCCCTGAGCAGCTGACACATTTCCCCTGACAGAACCATTCACCAAGCACAGTTACTGCCATTTTCCCTCCCCTTTTGGCTCCGTTTCTCCACAGACTGTTTTTCACAGAAAGGAAAAAGGACTTTTTTTCCCCCCTTCCAGTTGCTGATCCCATTTCCATATCACCCACTTCCAGATCCACCACTGTGCTATGGCCACTCTGCTGGCCAGCACCTCCAGCCCAGCACCTGGGGTCAGATCCAGCACAGGGAGCTCTTCCAAACTGGGCAAACACTTTCCAATATTGCATCAAAGGAAGGAACATCGATTTAAAAAGGCTTCTTGTGATGTGTCCTTCCAAGTGCAAGTTGAAATCCCACCTTCCCAGCCATCACACTTTCAGAAAAGTCCTGGAAAACCAATTCCAGCAGCTCTCATAGTGGCCCATAAAAGCTCAATAAAACCCCAACATTTTATTCCTTAAATACTCACAATTCTCAAGCCAAACTCACTTTTTCTCTGCACTACCCTCCCCAGAAGTGTGCATCACCTCTTCTCCTTCTTTTTTTTTGCAAATAGTCTTTAAAAGTTCTGCTCTTCCATATTTTGCATTTATCAGCACTTCCCCCTCCCTGTCCATGTGGAGCAAATATTCTCTTATTAAGGTTTTTTTTCCCTTCCAATTATGTTTTTATACACCCAAAGCATTTCCTGCTGCCAGAGGCTGCACCACTGCCACAGGGACACATATACACAAGATTCTGAAGCTATTTTGGCTGCTACTAATTTATAGTGATGCTTTTACCAATCAGAGAAGGATAAAATCACCATTTTCTGAAATCCTCTTCCCAAAATACAGTCCCAGCCCAATTCCCTGCCATCTCAGGATCCCAGACGTGGTGGAGCTGGGGCTCTTCCCCCTCCCAACCCCCTTCCCAGCTGCTGCTCAGCCTCTGAGCCTGAAAACTTTTGACAGCTTCTCCTGGTAATCCACAAACACGAGCTGACAAGGGGAAGTTACACTCGGCATGGTGGGGATTTGAGATGATATTTAGAGCCGCGGCGCTGCCAGGACTTGACGTACAAGAGTGTTTCCCTGCTCAGGATCATCCCCCTGTGCTGCCTAACAACTTAGTCCTCGTCCTGGACTTACTGCCAGTATGGTTTTGGGGAGGAAAAGCTGCAATGTTGGGTTTTGCCCTGCATGCCCCAGTCCCTGTGCAGCCACCGGCCCGACTGCTGTGGGAAAACATCCAAATCAACGGCTGAAGGCAAGAGGAGAACCTGGATGTCACTGGGACACCCCATCTCTGCTTCCTGCAGTGCTCCTGGCACCTCCCCTTGGGATAAGGAAACCTGCACTCACCAGGAAACCTGCTGCTTCCCTCCTAAATGAGTGTGAGGGCCTGCAACCCAACCTGCTCTGCTACCTTGCCAACCTTTCCAGCTGCATTTCAGCTGCTCTCTTGGCTCTCCCCCACAGCCAGCTGTGGAAGAATTCCTTTGGGATCCTGCAAACACCCTCCACGCCCTGTTCCCAGCCCCTTGCTTGAACACTGCCAAGGGATGGGGAAGCCACAGCTTCTCTGGGCAACCTCTTCCTGTGTCTCACCACCCTCACAGGGAAGAATTTCCTCCTGATGTCTAACCTAAATCTCCCCTCTTCCAGTTTTAATCCATCCCCCCTTGTCCTCTCACTACAAGCCCTTGAAAAAAAAATCCCTCCCCTAGATTTCCTGGAGCCCCTTCAGGCACTGGAAGGTGCTCTAAGGTCTTCCTGGAGCCTTCTCCTCTCCAGGCTGAACACCCCAACTCTCTCAGCCTGTCCCTGAGGCAGAGGGGCTCCAGCCCTCCTCGTTAATTAAATTCTTGAAAGTTTTGAGTCCTTGGGAGAAGTAGGAGACAAGAAGGCCACGCAGCCCTTACCCTGCAGAGCCTCCTTGGCCCGTGCCAGCTCCTGCTCCTTCTGTGCCAGCTGCACCTTCAGCTCGGTGGCCGAGAGCACCTCTGGTGACTTGCTGCCATGTGTCTCCTCCAGGTCTTTTGTCAGCATTTCCTTCATTTGGCGGAGCAGGTGAACCTCCTCCTGCAGCTGGGCCACCTCCTCCCGCAGCAGCGCTGGAGGAAGAGGAGACACAATGTGAGGAAGTGAGCGGGCAGCTCCCGGCACTGCAAGCCCAGAGCCCCAGGGAAATGCTGCTGGGGTGACTCCCTCCCCACCCCACCACCCCAAAGCTTGTCAAATTGCTTTCCACAGTCCAAAATCTGCAACGGTGCTTGCAGCACCCCAGGAATGGAGGGAGAGGAGGAAGGAAGGGACATGGCCCTGAGAATTAGTTCCAGGGTTTGGCTTTAAAAAACGTTTCAACGTTGAGAACATAGAATGATGATAATATGCCAAGAGCCAGGTCCCCGTGCAAAGCCCTCAGGGTCAGGGAGCTTGCAGGGCTGATGTCCAGCAGAGGCTGCCAAGCTCTCCTCTGCCCCCATCCAATACCCCTCACTTCTGCTTCCAGCCACCCACATCTTCAGGACATACCCAACAACACCCAACACAACCACTCTGAAACTGGAAAAAGTAAGACAGGGCTTTGACTGGCAGACCCAAATTTATCCAATTTACACCCAGCAACAGGGTTGAGCCTCCAAGCAGCTGCGAGCAGGAGCATCTTGATACATCCCAGCCCAGATCCCCTCTGCCTGGGCACTGAGGGACCACCAAGGGGTAATAAAGTGCATTTCTCCTCTTTCCACATTACACCCATTGCCCTCATCTCCCTTCACCACCTCCCTGCAAAACACTTCCTGGCCATGCAGCACTGCTGCAGTCCTCTCCATCAGCCAGACACCACATCCAAAGTGATCCATGCAATCCAAACAGTTGGATTGTGCTTTTGCCCCCACATTGAGGACACCTGTTACTCATCCAAAGGGGTTATTGATTTTTTAAAATTGCACCATGTCCCTGGACATAGGGAGGAAAAAAAACCAACCTGAAGCCCTCAGCACACACATTACAGTACAGAAATACAATGAACTGTCCCCCCTCCAAGCTACTGCAGTTCCCCATTGTCACCAAATATCAGCCAGCATGGGGGACACTGGTTTTCCCTTTATTTTTGCTAAGGTCCCTCTGCACATTTCCTTTCCATCACTTTGTGGAGTGAGGAGGGAGGTGACACAGCAGTGGGATGGGGAGAGGTGGCTGCCACTGGCCCAGCCAGCAGCTGCTCCAGGAAGGCATTAAATCCGCTTTGCATACTTGAAATGCTTCCCATCCAAAAACTGGCAAGGCCCCTTCTGTAAATTATTTAGCAATAAAGTCACTAATGAGGAACAGTTGAGCTCTGGGCTGGGGATTTTGGTGCAGTCCAAAGCCTTTGCTTGAAATCCAGGCTAAAAGCAAGAAGCAGGAGGTGACCGAGGCCAAAGGCACCTTCCCCAGGGGCTGTAGAAATGTAGAAATCCCTCCAGCCTTTGGGAATCTGGGAGAAGATGTGAGGGACTCATACGTGGTGTAACATTTACTGTGCAAAATCCACCCTGGCCAAAAAAGCCCCACACAAACCCACAGAGCACCAGTGGTTGCTGCTAACGACCCATTTTTTTTTCCCCACTGATAATTCATTTTCACCTTCCATTCCAAGCTGGGAACCAGTGGAGCTGTTTCCTGGGAGAGGATTAACCAGCAGAGGAGGCTGGAGGCTGGGCAGCTGGTGCAGGGACAAGCTGCCACATTCCTGGAAAATGCAGCATTTCAGTGGGAAGTCAGAGAAACCCAACCACTCTGTGACATTGTGTGACCCCCTCCAGGGAGCAGAGAGAGGAAACAAGCCCAAGGAAGGGCAACCCAAGGGGATTCTCAGCAGAACATCCTGGAGGAATCCTTTGGCATGGCCCAAAAAGCAGATTTTCAGCTGCTTCTTAAAAGCTCCTTTTGATTCCCCCAAACTGCACCATCCCCCTTCTGGTCCTGGTCAGAAAAAGGAGGGAAAACTCCAAAGCATTCCTCCTCCAAAGCATGCCACAAGGCAATTTAACCCCAAACTTAGTCCTTGGCTCCCCATACAGGCAGAAACTACTGCAAGATTAAAATCCAAGATCTATAAGAAGAAGCTGTAGGTGCAATCTGAAAAGGAGAACACAGTGCTCCCCATGCAGTGACTGCCAGATGGATGGAGAAACCTGAATTATTGAACTCAGGATCAGCCAGATACCCAAGATTCTTGCTTTTACACATATATAATTAAAGATATATGTATATACACACACTAAAAAAAAATCTGATTGTGCTTTGCAATATATATTTGCAATACAGATATATACATTTTGCAAGATAGATCTATTTTTGCAAGATAGATCTGTCTTGCAGTAGAACTTTAGGGCAAAGAACAATCTATTTTTCAAAAAAATATAACAGATATAAAAATTGCAAAGTCCAATCCATGCAGCCAAGGTTTGAGGGGAAAAAACCCTCCACCTCTGCTAGGCTGAAGCAGGGGAAAGTCTTGTTTGTCTTGAGGTCCTTGCTCTTTTCCCAACTCCCTCCTGGGATTCCCACCGATGTCTTCGCTGTAGAAACCAGGAATGGGCTTCAAGGCAAATCAAACCCTCTGAACTTTTCCCAGCCAAGTTTAAAGGGTTTTCTGGAAAAGAAGCTGGTGTTTCAGGGAAGCCATGGGGATGAGAGCATCTCCTGCTCTTAGGAAGCCACTTAATGGGCCATTTCTTGTATTATAGTGAGGTTTTTATTCAGACTTGCTGCCCAGAGCAGTGGGGCTGGACTGACAGAGTCATCCCACGGGCTGCCTTACACCTGAATTACCCTCCTTTCCATACTGGGTTTATTTCCACCCCACTCTGACATTTCCTTGGGCTCCTCTTCCCCCTCAGCCTGTCACCCACCAAAATCCCACCAACACAAAGTGTGTCCCTGCACCAAGCACTCCCTGACAATGCCTCTTCCTGAAAACTTCCATCCCAACATCTCCAGTCCAAGAGGGTCTCATGCAGAAAGCCCCTTTCATTTGCATAAATTGCATGAAGAGAATGACTCTGCTTGTGAGAGAAATTTTAACTTCATTATGAAATGGGGGGAAATTCCCACTGATCTGCCAAGTTTAAGCACCTCAACAAACAATCCGAAAAGCACCAATTGCAGGAGCTCTCAGTGATAGTTATGGAAACGTTTCAATAACTGAGAAAATAAGGTAAATTATTAAGAAACCCCAGCTCAGCTTCTACTTCTCCCACCCACAGCTGGCTCAGCAGGGATCTGCACACACCTTCCTGAGAGCTGACCCTGCTGCAGCTCGATTTGAAGCCATAAAGGAGCTGAAGGTGGCTGGAAGAGGGGTCAGGGCTCAGCACCCCCCACCAGGGGCTCCACACACATCCCCACCACGATGCAAAAACACAATCCAGAAAATAGAATAATTTCTAACACTGGTTGTTGGGTTGGTTTTTTTTTGCAGTTCAACCTAAGCTGGGGTGAAGAGTTAGATTTGCTCTCAGAAATCACCTCCCAATACAACAAAAAGGCTACCACAGCACATTTTTCACAGTGGTTTTGCCTCTTTCATTTTTTTCTCCTCTTTTTAACCTTTATTATTATTTTTTGGGGGGAGTTTTGTCTGTGCACTGTCACTCCTGACAGCCCAGGGGGAAGGAGCCATTTCCCCACATGGAGGATCCCCATCAATCCAGCCCTTTCCAAACCCGCAGCGAGTGGGCAGTGATGAAATTAATATAATTCAAACATTTCCCAGACTAATTGCTGAAAGCTACTGTTCACACCGAAATAATTGGCTGTTAATTATATTTCAGATGATAGCATTAAACTTCCCTGACACTGTTGGGTTCTGTATCCTTTCTGCTTTAAGCACTGATTAGTGTTAACAGACAACGTAAATAAGATTTTGTTGGGGTTTTTTAATTGCAGTGATCACCTCCAAGACAGCATTTGGGGCTGAAGTTTATACTCTGGATCCTGCAAATCCCACCTCAGATTCCTCTGGGGAGCAGATCCATGGGCTGTGCTGCTTTTCCTGGCCTTGGAGCAGGAATCCATTTACAAACCTTCATTTAAAAGCCTTTTTTCCCCACGCAACTCAGCTGACACGATTGCTGTACACGTGCTCCTGGCTTTGGAGGGTCCATATGAAAAATAAATGCAGCATAAATGACAAGGATTAAATTGGTGGAATTGTTAGCTTGACTGAAAGCTGCATTTTGTGCCACTTTTGCACGTTCACCAGCAAGATAGTTTTTACTTTGCTGTTAAGGGTGGGGTTTTTTTTACCCACGCCATGAGCAGGAAAAGGGCCAGAGGACACAAGTGTCCCCAGGGTTGCAGCAGTGGGGATTGACAAGGGTGGCAGAGGGGAAAGCCTCCCTGTGGTGGATCACCCTGAAGGGGATTTCACAGGCCCTGCACAGGGAAGCAAATGAGGGGGGAATAAAAGAGACAAAACAGGAAAATGCAAATCTTGGTGCTGATGGCCTCACCTAACAACCCTCACCTGGCAAGAGCATGGGGCAACCCTTAGTCCCTCCTGGCCTCCCCACAGGGCTTTGGCCCAGAAGAATAAATAAACACAAGTTTACATATATACACACACACACATATATATGCACGTGTGTGTATACATACTCATATAAACACAAATACACATGTACATACAGCTCTGTCCTGGGATGGGAAACAGAATGGTCATAAGATAAAGAACATTATAAGAAAAGAATAATTCAAACCCCAAGGATGAGCTCAGCCAGTATTTTAGAGAGCATCTCATCACCTTCAATCATCAAGTACCTTCCCAGCTTGGGAGCCAGGTCTCTCACAGAAAGGGTCACCCAAGGACTCCTCCCAGGGAGCCTGCACTACTTGCACATCTCTGCAAGGAGTAACTGGGAAGAAAAGCACAAATCCCTGGGCACAGGGCTGGGTGAGGGCCTGGGTCAGAGCAGGGAGACCAACCTCAGCCACCCCACGTGTGCAAGCAGCCAGCCTCTCCACTATGAAAGTGTTTGGTTAGCCCAAAATACAAGTGGATTTGCAAGAAGACCCAGTTCCTGCCACTGTTAGGACCTGCCAGTGCAAAGCCAACA